TATATATATATATATATATAATTTTACATTTATCATACTAATAAACATTTTATTTTTATTTTTTTAAAAACATATATATGAAATTATTAAATATTAACGAAAGATAATAAATGTTTCCAATAATAATAAAACCATTTAAAAAATTGTAGTTTCAGTGCATATTTTAATTAGCATATATTTTTAGATATTAAATTTTTAATGATTATTTTTATAATAATTTTATTGATATGAAAAATCATTCACCAAATAAATGTATTATAAATAATGAATATAACATTTGATTATGTTGTTAACATTTAGTACATAATTGTTTTATGATTTTAATTTTTATTTTTTTTGATAGGCAAAACAAATCTTATTAAAAAGAGTTCAAGGGGAACTCAAAACCCATATACACAAAAAATTACTTACTCAGAGAAATAAAAAGCAAAAATATACTTATGCAAAATTAAGACAGATGCAATTTCGTGGGTTCAAATACCAATCAGCTAACATAATAACTTCTCCCTTACTAACAAGTGATAACCATTTCCAGGATCTCAGAATAATAGAATCTAGGACTTCCCTCTCATCCAAAATACCATTGAAAAATATAATTCTATTTCTATGCAACCACAAAGACCACACTGTACTTACCCAAATAATTAATAAGCATATTCTTTCTCTTTTACTACAGCCAACACCAACCCAAGAAAGCAAGTGAGTCGATAAATCTGAAGGCAAAACCAGTGAGAATCCAAGCCAATGCGCAGTAAAGTACCAGATTTGAGATGAAACTGAGCACGTTAAAAATAAATGAGTTGGAAGTTCCTCCAAATCATGACAGAAACAACAAGTTATATCATCAATTTGAACACCACGGTCAATCAATAAACCTTTACAAGGAAGTGCATTCAACAACAATTGCCAAGAAAAAACCAGACACTTAAGAGGGACCCTCCCTCTCCATAGCCTTTGCAAGGCATCTGCCGTACACTGATCTACACTATTAGGACCACCAAAAAGTTCAAATAGCCATGAATACGCAGATTGCATTGAATAACAACCTGAAGAATCTGCCCTCCATACCCATTTATCTTCTTGTAGTAACTTAATAGAAACTCCATCCACAAGCTCCAACAAAAGATTAAAGCTCGAGATCTCATGTTGAAAGAGTCTTCTTCGCCAACTAACATTCCAAACCCATCTAGTGCCATCATGAAAACTATTCTCCAATACACGTGATTCAGCATTTCTCGCCATTGCAAATAATCGCGGAAATGCTTCACACAATCGCACCCCTCCTACCCACTTATCTCTTCAAAAAAGAGTGTGTAAACCTGCACCCACACTTCTATCAAACTTCTCATCCAGCCATGAATTCCTTTGATGAATAACCTCCAGCAAATCACGCCACCACAAAGAACATCTGTTGTGAACTGATGAACGCTGAAGAGAAGAAGCTAATCTTCCATATCTAGATTCCAACACCTGCACCCACAATGAACTAGAACAGTTAACACCTCGCCACAACCATTTACCAAGAAGCGCCCAATTAAACCACTGCACATTTCTAATGCCCAAGCCACCATTCTTCCGCGGTCTACATATAGTTTTCCATTTTACCCAGGGGATTTTAGATTCATCCTTAACACCCTTCCATAAAAAATTCCGTTGGATAGTGACAATTTCCTTTATTACCGACTTCAGCACCTTAAAAAAGGATAACAAGTGCAATGACATAGAATTAAGAATGGCATTAATCAAAGTCACCCTACCTCTAATCGATAAATACCTATGCTTCCATGACGCTAACCGCTTTTTAAGAGCCTCTAACACACCCTTCCATGCATTAGGCTTTCTCGGGTTAACACCTAACTGTAACCCGAGATACTTTAATGGGAAACTACCAATCTTACAATGTAGGAACTCCGCAGCCAAGTTTTCAAAGTCATCACCAGTGTTAATCCCCAATACAAAAGATTTATGGAAGTTAATTTTCATACCTGACATTAATTCAAAGCTACGCAATACTGCTTTCAAAGTCCACAAATTCTGCACCGAAGTCTCTCCCATAATCAATGTGTCATCCGCAAACTGTAGCAAAGAAATATCTGGTCCCCCTTCTCCAATCGTCACACCAGAGAACAACCCACAAGTCACTGCCTTCCGCATAAGAACTCCTAATCCTTCCGCTGCCACAAGAAAAAAAAAGGGGCAAGAGGATCCCCCTGTTTTAGGCCCCGCTCAATATGAACCTCCAATGTAGGACAACCATTAATCAAAGCTGATAGGCTTCCCCCCCACACACAAGCTTCCATCCAACTGACCCATTTGTCTGAAAATCCAAAGCTACGTAACATAAACAAAAGATATCCCCACTCTAGCGAATCATACGCCTTCTCATAATCAAGCTTTAACACAAAACACCTCTTATTATACCTCCGCACATAATCAACTGCTTCATTAGCCACGAGTACATTATCTAACATGTTCCTTCCCGGGATAAAGGCTGATTGTTCTTCTGAAATTATTGGATTCAAAACTCCTTTCAACCTATTTGCCAAAAGCTTGGAAACAATCTTATAAAGACAACCTAATAATGAGATAGGCCGAAAATCAGATATCTGTTGTGGGCAAGACACTTTTGGCACAAGTGCTACAAAATAAGATAATAAAGACCTAGGTAGCTTCCCATTTCTACAAAATTCAGTAAGCATACCCATCACTTCTTCCTTGATCACTCCCCAAAACCTCTTAAGGAACACAAAATTGAAACCATTAGGCCCCGGACTTTTATCACCCTCACACTCCAAAATCATCTTTCCCACTTCCTCCTCCGAAAAAGCATTAACAAGCTCCTCATTCTGTAGAACAGAGACTCTTGGTAAATTATTAATATCAATAGTAGGTCGAAGCTAACTTCTACTACTAAAATGAGCCGCAAAATAGGACACCACACCTGTTTTAATCTCATTAACCTCTTCGACACATCTCTCTCTAATTTGGAGTGCATGTATATTATTTCGTCGCCGCCTCCCATTAATACATTAATGAAACAATTTTGTATTTAAATCACCCTCTTTCCCCCATCTCACACGAGCTTTTTGGGCTATGAGACTCTCTCTATTCTTCCTAGCCTTCCAAATATCACCCACCAACATTTGTTGACGCTTCTTCTCCACAACGGAAAGTTCTACCACTGAATTTTTATCATCAATCAAGCTCAATTCAGTTGTCAAATCAGAGATCACCTTATCAACATTTTCAAATACCTCAATATTCCATTTTTTTAATGCAATCTTAACATTCCTTAACCTCTGGCTAGCTCTCTGGGCAGCCCATGGGAGGGTAATATCTCTTTTCCACGCTTCCTCCACCACCTCCACAACTTCTTTATGAGTCAGCCAACAATTATTAAATCGAAACGGCTTCGGACCCCAGTTAACCACTTTGTGCTTAAGAATAATGGGACAATGATCAGACACATCTCTGCTCAGAACCTGGATAAAACCATCTCCCCAGTAATCAAGCTAGGAACTAGAAACAAGGACTCTATCCAGCCTGCTCATCATAGAAGCATCCCTTTTTATCCATGTAAAGTTTTTACCCACAAGTGGAAGATCCACAAGTTCCATTTCCTGAATGAAAGAATTGAAGCCCTCCATTTCAGAGATATCATAGTCTGCCTGACAACCCTTCCTCTCTGTCACTTGTCTCACAGCATTGAAGTCACCCAATATACACCACATAAATTTGCCAAGATCCCTTCTTGTCATGAGTAAATCATCCCATAACTTTCTCTTCTCACTTAGTCTACACGATGCATAGACATTCACCACAACACATAGGTTTTCAGTAGCCAATACCTGCAAGCAAACACCCAGGAATCCAGTACCAGAAAAGGAGAAAAGTATTTTACATTTGGAAGTATCCCAAAGTGAAAACATACCCCCACTTCTGCCAATGGAAGGCAAGGCACACCAATCAAAATTCACAGAACCCCACAAACGCGTACATAAATTACTATTACATATTTCAAGTTTTGTTTCCTGAATCGCCAAGAACTCCAGACCTTCAGAGCGAACAATCTCACACACCTTCTTTTGCTTTACCGCACTCCCCAGCCCTCTACAATTAAATGAGCCAATCTTCATTTAGTATCAAAGCGAACCCCATATTCTTTCGCAATTGTTCTATCACGTATCTCCATCTCAATCAATTTCTCTTGAACCTGCTCATCATTCCCATGTACAACCAAACCAACCTTCTTGCCAATGTCTAGTAACTTCGATGCCATTACCTCATCATCACAATTTGTAGCAACCATTCGCTCTCCCACCTCCACTGAAGGATTGGAAGGATGTGAGTTGTCGGAGCTCTTGGAAGCATTAGCTGAGATTTCATCAGTTATGATTTTAATTTTACATTACATTTCCTAAAGATAACATTAAAAACTAATGTGCATTAGAATTTTATTACTTCAAAACATGTTTATAAGCTAATTATATTTTAAATAATATAAAAATAATAAGTTCTTTTGCTAAATATTTTAATTAGTATATATTTTCAAGAATCAAGTTTTATGCATCTAATAAATATAACCATTAATGATATTGTTAAAATTTAATGACATACTGCTAACGATGATGATGGTATCGGATTTCTCCGAGTCAATCCATATCCACATCCAACCTATTTTTTAAGTGGTGTAATTTATAGAATCTATTTAGTAAATTTTTTTAGAAATGCATAATTAAGAAAGAGTTACTTAAATAATAATAAGTAAAAAAGGGTAACATATGATTATAAAATTTATATAAAAATTAATAAAATATAACTTAAACATTACTTTAATTGAAGATTTTATTAATTAAAAAAAGAAGAAGATGTTATTAGGGGCTGTGTTGAATATTACGGGATTTAGCTCAAAAGGCTCACACCCATTGTTTCCAATGTCCTGTCTCACTACAACAACACACTACGCTTTCTGGCATGGGCCAGTTTCGGTTGCAACATTTCTACCACTGGATTTTTTTGCTGAAAAGCAGCTCCATCTCTTCCAAGGCCACGCCTTTGGTTTCAGGAAGGAAAATGTAGAAGAACACCCAAGCCAGCACCGATATACCAGCAAACATGAAAAAGCTCCCACCTATAGTTATTGCTTTATAGATTGAAATAAAGCTCATGGAAACAGCAGCATTCATTGTCCTATTCACCGCAACTCCTATGCTTGCCCCTTGTGCCCTCAACTTCATAGGGAATATCTCTGAGCTATAGACCCAAGTAACAGGCCCAAGCCCAATATTAAAGAAAGCAACATAAGCATATGTGGCCACAATGCTAAGACTCAAGGCCCACAAAAGCTTCTCATTGGAATGATCAACCATGGTCAAGCTGAAACCCAAAAGTGACAGGCCACAAATCATTCCCCCTGTGCTTATTTGCAAGAGGCGCCTTCTACCAACTTTATCAAGCAAGAACGAGGCTATGATCAAGAAAGTGATCTTTGTAAGACCAACTCCAACGGTTGCAAGTAAGAGCTTATCCTTACTTGTCACACCAGCTTTCTTGAAGATTCTTGGGCTATATAACATCACAGCTTCAATGCCAGTTGCATGCTCAAAGAAGTGAATCCCAACTGCAGCAATCAGCATCCAACGAACTTGAGGTGTAGGCCTCACAAGCAACTCTTTCCAAACCCCTTCACCATTGCGTGACCCTTGAGGGTGCTTCACGTTTGCAATCTCATCATCACAATTCTCATCAAAACCAACAGCAACTTTTATTTCCCTGAAACGAAGTTCAGCCTCTTGGGTGCTATTAGAAACTTGCAATAGGACCTTCTTGGCATTTCCTAGTTGACCTTGCATCACTAACCACCTTGGTGACTCTGGCATTGTTAGAATACCCAAAGCCAAAGCAAGTGAAGGAAATGCTGCAATACCAAGCATCAATCTCCACCCAAGTTTCAATGCCAATTTCCCCAAGAAGTAGTTTGATACATAGCCAAGTAAGATCCCAATGCCAATGCAGAGCTCAGGTAAAGAGGTTAGAAGACCCCTTGATGATGCAGAGGAAATCTCTGCTGAGTAAACAGGTGCTATCATAAGAGCAAAGCCCACACCAACACCACCAACACACCTACCAACCATTAAAATTGCATAGTTTGGGCCATACCCCATGAGAATTGCACCTACCATGAAGAGGACAGAGGCTAAGAATATTGTGTAGCGGCGACCAATGTAATCAGAGGTTCTTCCAGCAGCTAAGGATCCCACCAATGCGCATAGGTTTAAGATTCCTGCTAGAACCTCTTGTTGGGTATCACTGATTCCAATATCATCCTTAATGAATATCATGGCTCCACTCATAACACCGGTGTCTGAAATCATACGTAGAAAGATTGAGTTAAAATACAATTTTTTTCAAGGACACACGCTAATAGATGAATAACTAATAAATATTTATTAAAAATTAAAAAGTATTATTACCTTTAACTTTTAGAATCGAGTTTAAGGACTTAGCAATAAATTTTAATTGAAAGTTATAAAAAAGTGATAAATATTTTTTATAAAATTTATTATTATTAATTACTTAAATTCTTTCTATGAGATTCTATAATTCCTAATAAAAACTTACTGTATATAAATGTTTTTATGTGTACACACGTAAAAAAAGAAAATATATTTACAGGTTGTACATTTATCTAGAGGAGAGGTTATTAGAAAACGACACAATAAAAGTCGTCGATTAAGGAACATATATTTTTACTTTACCAAATGTCGAAACATATGTGCAATCGTGTGTGTGCAGAGATAAAAAAATGGTGGAAAATTTTAAAGTAGACGAGAAACTAATTCAAAAAGAGAAAAAGTATTACCATAACCAGATATGATGGACACCATTGAAGCAACTATAGCACAAGCAAAGGCATATTTGTTGAACATAGTCTTCTGGTCTTCTTTGCCACCCTGCTCCATTATAATAATGATGTATTAAGGCGTCTTTCGCTTCCTCTCTGGCTACAAAATTTCTCTACGAGTAAAAGAGTAAGACTCCTCAACGTGATTTCTTCTCTTGTGTCTTGATTCAGCTATAGGATATATAACTTGAGGCTAGCTAGCTGCACCCATTTCCTTGATTCCAAGCTTGTTTATATAGGAGCCGAGGCCTTAACATTATTGTGTGAACAAGGAATCGTTGCTCTGATATGGTTCCCACTGACTGTGGACTAGTCAAAGATACTTGCTCGTTGCTGTTATACTCAATACTCCTTCCTGCTCATTTATAGGCAAGGAAATAAAGTATTTTCTTTGTTTTAATTATAAGATCTGCCCATTTTATAGGAAACTAAATAAAGTATTTTTTTTATTTTAATTATAAGATACACAAAATAAATTTAAAATGTATTAGTTATTAAATTACTTTTATATACTTTTTTTTATTAGCGTTATTAAATATAGAAGTTATTAATTATATTATTTAATATCGTAAATATTTTTAGAATAAAATTTATATTTATAAAAAATATAATTAATTTAATTATTTTTTAATCTTAGTAATATAGTCTTTTATTTCTTATAAAAAAATTAAAACAGTATGATATGATACAAGACATAAAAATAAAAAGACTAAAAAATCTAACATAAAAAAAATTTATACATCAATTTAATCATACACATGTTCTATCACTAATCAAAGAGAAATTAAGATTAAAATTATATACTGACGATAGAAAAGGATCTATCTTTCTTTTAATCCTTATTAAAAAAGAAAGTAGCAATAACAAAATTTGAGAATGGTTATCTCTTATTTCACGGCAAGACTTTTTTTATATGTACTTAATAAAATTGTTTGAAAAAAATTACAATCATTTTAGATGAGAGTAGAGATCTCGAACATGAATGACCCAATCTTTCATGGATCATCCACAATAAAAGAGTAATTATAATTCTATCAATTAGTAAAGTATTATGATTAAAATAGTATTTTTATAATTAATATATTAATAATTTTAAAAAAATTATAAATAAATAATTAATACTAACTCGCAAATAAATAATCATGTAATAAAAAATAAATCAGAAGATCAGGTTAGGTTTGAATTAGTTAATTGAAGTGGCATTATACGGTTGGCTAATGAATGAAAACTAATGAAGAGGGTTTGGGTAGAATTCCTAAATGTGGTAGATCTTCTTATAACTGTCGTAATCTACGAGGATTTCTTGGCACGGGAAGTTCAATACTAATTATAATTATTATGGATAAGGATTGAGCTCAAATTCAATATACGACCTGATTATTGGTATAATCTCTAAGCTAGATATGCTGCTGACTAGGAGGCACCTGTCTTTAAACTTTAAATTAGATTTGAAAAACTTATATTAAAAAAAAGAAACAAATTTAAACTAATGAAGATTAGTTTGACTGGTTTGGTATTACTTAAATAAAGTTTTGAATTTTTGCGTATGTAAAAAAAATTTTAGTGATAGACTCACTTATTATATTTAGATGCGCGATTTGGGTTAGATCTGAATTAAATAAGATGAAAAATTAAAAAAAATTTCAAAATAATTAAAATACAAGATTAACTAAAAGAGTAGTTTTATGAGGATAGAAGAAAATTATATTAAAGAATATATTAAGGAGGACCTAATGATTTAAGAATTATTAAACACGTATGATCTTGGTAGGAGGATTGGATCTTTGAACAATAGAAGAAGAGGGCAGTAACTTTAAGCCACGGATATACAATTTTTTTAAGCTTAATTTTCTTCCACAATCACTTAACTTGAATGCAAAATGTATTTAATAATGAATATCTTTTAGGATCTATCGAATAATTTTGAATATGTTTTGCAATTTCATAATTTAAGCTGTGAAAACAATTGCTTTTACAAAAGGATAATTTTACTTGTCGTCTTTTATGTAATAAAGATAAAGCAAATGAATTTATGAACGTTCTAAAACAAAAATAGAAATTGAGTCTTTTTTATGTGTTGTATGCATCTGATTATATTTAAAGAATGCTCTTATTTTCCCTGTATTAAAAAAAGAATGCTATCATTTTTAAACATTTTTTCTACTTATGAAAAATTACATTAATTAAATTGTTGTCTTTCTTAAAAAAATTTAACAGATTAATCTTTTAATTTTATTTCAGTTTGATTTTCTATTTTTTTCTTATTTTAGTCGTTTAACTTATTTAATTATTTTAGTTTAAAATTTTTTTATTAAAAAATTATTATTTATCTTCATTATTTAAATTTTAGCAAAAACATCTATTTTTTTTTTAAATTTCCAACACTACTAGAAAAGCTCTATTTATAGACGGATTTTAATCCGTCTATAATACAGACGAATTTACAGATAGATTTGTGGATTATTATTTTTTTTTCTAAAAAATCTATCTGTAATACAGACGGATTAAAATTCGTCTGTAGTTTGCTCGCCATTTGATGTGAAATCGTATAGACAGGAATTATAGACGAATTTTTCTGTCTGTAATTTGAAAATAGGAGAGAATTTTATAGCAGGAGTTATAGACAGATTTATCTTTCTGTAAATATGGCCGTTTTTAACCAACCTTTCAGGTGTCAAATTACGGATAAATTTTTTCGTTTGTAAATGGACTTAACAAATTTACAGATGAAAAAATCTGTCTGTAATTTGTCACCTGAAATGCACCATTTCATTAAACCCTTTACAGACGATTTTTCTGTCTGTAATGACTGAAACCCATAAAATAGCGCCTCCCCCTTCCCCTTCCTTATTTTTTCATAATTCTCTCTCTCGCCCCTCTCTATCTCTAGGAGCTCAGTGTTTTGGCCTTTGCAAGTGATTGGAGCATCAATTTGAAAGATTTTTTGCATCATTGTATTCCTGTTACGATACTTTAACTTTTAATCAGTTTAATTTTTTATGTTTTTTTAGAGACTTAAAATTTTTAAGATAGAGTTGTAGGATTAGAGATTGTATGATTGGGGGAAGGGCGTAGAGGTCTTTCTCCGAACCTGATTATTGTGTGCTGTGGGATTGTTTGTGTTTGTGTTTGTGGAGTTTGTAGAATATGCATGTTGTGGAGTTACAAAGGGATGTGCTCTAGAACGGTTTAGGATTGTGATGTGTTTGTGTTTGATGTATTGATTAATATATTGTTATATAATATATTAGTTATGTGTGGTGAAATTTTGATTTTTGTAAAAAAGTGGTAAACAAATGTAAGGAAATTGACATGTATTAGGGGAGATTCTGTCAAAATTTATATTAAAAATTTGTATAATGTATAATAGAAGGTTGATACCACATTGTATTTTTGTATTAGGTTTATATAGTTCTTGAGGAAGATGTTTTTCAGAAATCGTCAGTGGATGTATGATAGGTTGCACCTAAGTCGGGGGGAATAAAACCTGAATTCTTTGAGGGTGTTGAGGATTTCATACGTGTCTGTTGTAATTCGCAGCAATTCATCACTAACCAAAAAGTTAGGTGTCCATGTTCTAAGTGCAAGTGTAGAAAGTTTTTGGATATTGATTCAATTAGATATGATTTGTATAAGTTTGGATTTAAACATGATTATTAGATATGAACTGAGCATGGGGAAGTAGTTAATTTAGAAAGCAGATTCATGCTTATTTTAAGCTCATGAGAGCAAGCAGCTCCACACCTCTTCCTCCTCCACTAGCTCCAACACCACCTCCATGTATCATTCCTCTTTCGACTCCTCATGTACTAATGATGATGCTCCTTTGGATGATGATCATACAGATTATTCATGATGAAGACTTGTATTTTATTTTTAAATGTATTTATTTAGATGCTTTTGTCTTCCTTTGTAATAACATTTAAATTTTATATTTTATAAATCTTTTTTTAAATGTTTAGATGCCCAATTTATAGTTGTTATTATGTTTATAAATTGTGATAATAAGGAACAATCATAAATAACTATCTATATAAACAAAAAATACTAATAATAGTAAAATATATTACAGACGGATTTTAAGCTCATGAGAGCAAGCAGCTCCACACCTCTTCCTCCTCCACTAGCTCCAACACCACTGGTTTTCACCTCCATGTATCATTCCTCTTTCGACTCCTCATGTACTAATGATGATGCTCCTTTGGATGATGATCATACAGATTATTCATGATGAAGACTTGTATTTTATTTTTAAATGTATTTATTTAGATGCTTTTGTCTTCCTTTGTAATAACATTTAAATTTTATATTTTATAAATCTTTTTTAAATGTTTAGATGCCTAATTTATAGTTGTTATTATGTTTATAAATTGTGATAATAAGGAACAGTCATAAATAACTATCTATATAAACAAAAAATACTAATAATAGTAAAATATATTACAGACGGATTTTTCTGTCTATGAGTTACAGACAAATTTTTTCATCTGTAACTTACAGTTAAATTTTTTTGTTTGTAAGTTACAGACGAATGTTTCTGTCTATAATTTACAGACAGATTGTGAAATCCGTCTGTAATTCTTTACTGACGACGATATCACATACAATTTATGTCTGTTTCTAAATTTGTCTATAATTTTAAAAACTGTATGTAATGATTTAAAAATCTGCCTGTAAATCTGTATGTATATACAGACTTTTTAGTAGTGTAATAATCTAATTTTTTCTCTTTCATCTTTCTTTTTCTACCCCTCGTCTTTTCTACAACAATTTTCCTCTTAATTCAAACTCTAGAATTTTTTTTCCTTTCTCTGTTTACCTCTAATTTATATCTCCATGACTATTTCTCTCCATTTCTTTTGAATTTAGACACAATTTTTTTTTCTCTTACCTTTCATCTATTTCTCCACAATCTATTCTCCAACTTTCGCAAAAATATTTTTTCTTTCTTTTTTTTCTTCATCTTTTATCCCTCGCTCATGTCCCCCAAAACCCATCCCTCCTTCTTGATGTTGCCGCAATTATATAAACTTTATCTTTTTCTATCACCTCAAGACA